TTCATCAGCCCACCACCTACAATCTAATGGAAGAGCTGAGCTTGCAGTTAAGTCAACAAAACGCCTCCTCGAAAATAATGTGGGACCGAATGGTGATCTCAATAATAACGCTTTTGTAAGGGCAATGCTTACAATAACAAACACACCAGATCCTACTTATCAGTTATCCCCCGCTCAAGTATTATTTGGCCATTCCATGCGCGACGCCATGCCCAGGATAAAATCCAGAGCACCTATGTTTAATAACGACTAATTCTTGAAAACGTGGAGACATGCATGGTCTGCAAAAGGAGAAGCATTACGAACGAGATATGCAAAGACCCTTGAATCACTTCAAGAACACACACGTTTTCTCACACCACTACATGAAGGAGACAGTGTCTTCATACAAAATCAAGTAGGGAATCACCCTAAAAAATGGGATCGTAGTGGAAAAGTTGTTGAATGTAAGGAAATTGACCAATACATCATTAAGGTTGAAGGAACAGGTCGACTAACATTGAGAAATAGAAAATATTTGCGCAAATAACTCAACTCACTAAAGTCATACGAAACCGAAGTTGCATTGACCACACCACCAAAAACAAGCTCTAGTCACTATAACTTTGCCAATTTGCCAACACCATTTACAGAGTATGTCCCAGAAAGTAGCAACAAAGTCATACCTTCCCAACCGGATCTAGCACCATCTACAGTGTTGCTACCGCCTTCTACATTAGCACCAACAGTACCACCACTACCTCTACCAACAAATACAGTACCCTTACCGTTGATGCCAGCATCTTTATCAACAAGCTCGCCGCATCTAGCGATGCTACCCTTATTAAATACTGAAGTCGTAGGTGATCAACCATTGAAACGTTCATCCAGGCTACGTATACCCAAAAAATTCTACCAACTAGAAACCGGGAAATCTTTGACATTAGAGGACTTTAAGAAATGAAGCCAGAAATTATCTTTATATTTATTGAGACTTAAAAACATGGAAGGGAATGTAGAAATAGTGACATTATTCATTATTGTTTTTATATTGTTTTATATTGCTGTTGTTTAAACTTATTGTTATTTCATTTAGAAACTAACATTGTTTAAGAAATAATTATAATTGAGAACAACGACTAACTTTTGTTTAAAAACCAGTCCTTTATTTAAATGAATTATATTATTATGTCACAATTTAACAAAAACCGTAAATAGTATTTATACTCCTGTATAATGTATTATTCAAATAGGTTTCGCTAAAAGTTTTTTCCTTGTCGTACAAGACAAAGTTATCATATTTTTCTAAAACACAAGCAACCATCCATAAGATTATCCATAAGATCAACTTTTCTTGGTTTTAATCAATAAATTTTCCTGATTTAACATAATTAAATTACTATTTTGTAATAGAAAAATAGTTTTAGTCTCATATTTTATAAATTATTCACTGAATTAGTTATTTATTTATGGTTAATTTTATTTGGGTCATTACTTTTTGAAATTTTGTTTAGGTTACTTATTTTCATGCCTGCAAGTTGATTTTAATTTGAGTTTTTCAATACGTTTTATAACAAAAATCGAAGTTATTTAATATTTTCTTATTTATTTTATCTACAAATGTGAAATCTTTAAATAGAAACCTCACTATAAAGAAAATGTTAAATCTGATATCCGACAAATGAAAATGTTATATCCGACAATCTGCTTTACAATACAAAAACATTCTTCAGTAATTTCCAAAACCATCCTTATTCTTTAGAAGAATATCTATAAGTTCGAAAGATTTCACTGACGGACCAGGTAGCTAATATAAAAATCGGTCATTTAATTTTTTAAACAACAATGTGACAATTTAGGTCGTTTTTTAAAAAAAGTTATATTAGAAATCAAAATAAGTTATATTAAAAATCAAACTTGAATTAAAAGACATATTTTTAGTAGTTAAAATAAATTTAATAAAAAAAGAATATAGTAGTTAATTGCCAAAAGTCTGTTTACGTATGGATTCAGGCACGCCCAGAGCTCTTGTGATGCCCGGGTCCAAAAGTTTAATGGATGCCCTATCATAATTCAGGTCTTAAAATGAAAAATACCAAATAAATTAGTATAGTTATTCTATGTTTACTTTCATAGAAAACCTGAAATCACATTTAATTAATTTTGGTTTTTAAAAGCAAACTATGGTAAAATTAAATCTTAATTCGAACACATCTTCCGGGCCTACTGAGCGGCAAAAAAAACTTTTCCGTAAGAAACGTTATTGGCTAAATCTGATTTAATTAAAAGGATTGTCAAGTAGCAATATCGCTCCAAGGAAAACTTGTTGAGTGCAAAATTAAAGACATTACATTCAGAGTTGTTTGATGCTTCATTATGGTTGTTTCTAGCAGTTTTATCCGGGAAGAATATCTTTTTTAGCGTTCTCTTTAAAGAAGAAAACATAAATTCATTAAATCTTAAGTTATTTACATCATATAGTGCCTATATCAGGTATAATCCCATATTATTAGATAGTCTCAAGACAAACGAATTCAATTCAGATCTGTCTATTGGTCGTTTCAAATCTTTACTTCATCATCAAGAGTGAGTGAATTGAAGCTAAAGACAGACGTTACTAACTACCATCAAACATTTATACCAAGAAGTAGTGAAAAAAAAATTTCTTTTTAATTTATTCATTAAATTAGATAAAAAAACTTCATTATTACTTTCGCCTGGAAGGTCCAACTCTTTTGGACGATGTAAATTCAAGATCTTTTTTGGCTTTTTTGCTAGTGGCTTGACTGCTTCAACCCTTTAGCTCCATTGTGTAACACAAAATTTATGCAATGATAGGTCTGTCTCCTCCTGAAAAATTTTCCAACGAAGTGGTCTGCAGCTGAACAGATTGTATAGCTTTTGAATGTTTCCAAAATAGGACTTTGCAGGAGTCGGTAATTTAATAGCGTGTACTGCACATAAGTTCAAATTGCAAGCAGAGCAAGAAATGAAAATTGCTTGTAGATTATTCTGCCTAATCAAAGCTTGAACTCCATTGTAAATACCTGCCATATAAGTGTCATTGTCATAGCCTTGCTTAGCAATAAGCTCCAAGAATTATCCATTCCAATTTTAGAACAATTATAATTGAAAACAAAAAATTATTAAAATAGTAATCCATTATAATATCCAACCTAATTTCACAAAATCTGAATCTAAGGGTAAGGGTTATAAAGTGGTTTTTATAAAGTATAAGTTAAAGTTAAGTATTTTCAGTTTAATTTATTTGCCTAAAACCAAGTGTAGCTTTGATGGCGTCAATTTTTACATATCTGTGACCATATTAAAAAAAAAGTATTTTATACTACTTCTTTAATCAGGGTCATCCCGAGGGAATTAGAGAGGTCAGTGAAAAAAAATTTACATCCTAGTTTGCACAATGCTGTAAATATATCCATGGTCACTGTTGAAAAGATCTTTCTCACATCCCTTCACATTTAACAACAATTGCACCAAAACGTTTACCGACAGGCTAAAAAAAATACTAACATTCGAATATATCCTAATAAACTAATAATATGGTAGTAATAAAAGTAATAATATTTTACTAATATTCCTACATATGGGTCACTAAAATTAACATTTTGTTTACCAATAATTAACTATCACATATTGAATATTAAATATTTAATTATTGAGCGTTTTCGTTGATTGTCAATTTAAGATAAGTTAATTTTAATAAATTGAAATGTTTAAGGTTAGTTGTGATTTGATTATGTGAAAACTAAAAATATTTAATTTGATGTGAGTTTTGTTTCGTTTTATTTATAGAAATTAAGGATTTTAAAGGTAATGAAATGTTGAGACAATTATGCCCTTAATAATAAAATTTATAAAATATTTTCGTTGAACTAGTATGGTAATTAGCAGACTCATAAAAGTGGAGCTAATGCTTATGACCATTGTTAGTGTTTAAATTTTTTTATTTTAAAAAAAATAGAAATAGTTTTAGAAGTAAGGCTCTTAAGTTAAGGTTAAATAGACTACAAATAGAAGACACTAGAAATAAAAAAATATTTAAAAAATGCTTAGCATACATTCAAATAATATCATTAAAATCTATTTTATTAATACGTATTTTATTATAGTAGAAATCATATCATTGAAACATAAAATTAATAAATTTCATATAAATATCTTTAAATATATATTTTACATTATAAACGTTTTCAAAAGAAATTTCAAAATTGCATTTTTCATCAGAATACAATATCCTGAACCAATTTGCTATAGAAAAAAATTTCTGAAAAATAAACGGAGTGTCTATTCGCAATATATATATATTTATATATATATATATATATATATATATATATATATATATATATATATATATATATATTATATATATATATATATATATATATATATATATATATATATATATATATATATATATATATATATATATATATATATATATATATCTTAAATCAATCATAAATTGAATGTGTAGCTAAAGTAAAAAGAAAGAAGTGATTATAGTCTTATGATATCTAGAGGTGATTTTATGAGGGAAGGAGTTTATGTGGGGGTGTAACACCCTTTCAAAAATAGGTGATTATCAGAATATTGTTGTTTTTTTGTGTGTTTTTTTTTTAATTTCAATTCACCACCCAAGACCACGAAAGCCACTTTAGTTGAAAAGACTACTTTACCTGTGGTTACAATCTTCTCTCAATTCTATAGCTCTTCAACACGAACCTTGATGAATAAGGTCGCTACTTGGAGATACTATTTTGGGGCGGTACTACTAGTTAAGTGTTGGGAAACGATCTCGGAACTATTTGCTTATGAGGTGAGCGTTTTACCACTACACCACTGATAATACCAATAAGAACTAAGTACTAAAAGTTGTTTCTCTAATAAAAGTGATAATTTCTACATACTCAAAAGTTTGGGTTCCAAAATTAAGAAGAAGTAAAAATGAATTAGGTTTCTAATAGACTCATGTTACCGTAGCAATAAAAACAACATACCTTTTAAAAATGATATCATAGAAACAAGGAATATTTCAAAGACTTTCTCCATTTAGCCTTTATACTTACTAAAGTAAAATTTTTTACATTTATTAAAATGATATTAGTGAAATTGAATAAATAAGTTGAAGTAAAAGATAATCTTTAATCTAACCGCATTTATTTTTTATTTCTTTTTAACAGTACCTTATTAGAGATTTCATTTTATTAGTTTGCATTAGAGCCTCAAACTGAAGTTACGCCTCTGTAAATATATATATATATATATATATATATATATATATATATATATATATATATATATATATATATATATATATATATATATATATATATATATATATATATATATATATATATATATATATATATATATATATATATATATATATATATATATATATATATATATATATATATATTGTTGTTTATTATTGTATCTGGTTGAGATACAAATCCTCTTGTTTACTTGAGAGTGATCAATATAATGTAAGAATAATTTTTACAAAATAGATCAATATATGTATATAAATAAAGTGTAATTAAATAGAAAAATACAACTTTATAATGGAACTAAAAGTTTCATGCCTATCGGCAATCTTCAGCCATATATATTATACAAATCAAGAAAAAACCGTTTAAAAAATACAAAATACAAAAAAAGCAGTAGAATGAGTTCCGACGTCAAAACAAAACGAATAAAAAAACGAATAAAAAAGAAGCATAGTTGTAAAACTGCTAATCACCAGTGTCAAATTGGGCAAGAAGAAATTTGTTTTTATGCCGGCACTATTATATTTCACTCTTTTTATTTAACAAATTTGGGTGTTTGAAAAATAAAATTTCGTACTTTTCGTTTAAGCATAAGTTAGATCGTTTTGTTACAGGGTTATAGGCATCGCACTGTTTAATTATTTTCCACCTAACAACCGGGTTTAAGTTTTCATCTTTTAATCTCCAAACCTCCTTTGATAATTCAGTGTCATTTTTGTATTTGGGAATTTTAAAAGATTTAATGTGATTAGCATATCTAATTTTAAAAGATGTTTCGCTTATGCCAATGTAAAATTTATTGATGGGAGATTGAACAAGATTGTTTGAGCATACATTAGCTTGATATACTATATTTTTTGTTAAGCATTGGTTTGATAAAGGGCAGGTGTTTTTATCTATGCAATTGCAATTATTTTCAGCTGATTCTTTCTTGTTGTTTATAACATGGCGATTGTGGGCGTTTAAAACGGATTTCATATTAGGCATACAGCTATAACTTACTTTTAATGTGTTTCTGTTAAAAATTTTGTGCAACTTGTGATTTTTAGGGAAGTGCTTATCAATTAATGTTAAAAATATTTTTCCTATATAAAAGAAATCTCATTTCTTTCTTGTCATGAATGTTTTCGTTGATTGTCAATTTAAGATAAGTTAATTTTAATAAATTGAAATGTTTAAGGTTAGTTGTGATTTGATTATGTGAAAACTAAAAATATTTAATTTGATGTGAGTTTTGTTTCGTTTTATTTATAGAAATTAAGGATTTTAAAGGTAATGAAATGTTGAGACAATTATGCTCTTAATAAACAAGTAAACAAGAGGATTTGTATCTCAACCAGATACAATAATAAACAACAATAAATTGCTCCGTACGTTGAGCACTCTACTCAAGTTGTCTGCGAAATGGAAAAAACGAACTTGAATTATTCTGTCAAGAACATTCCAATTCCACCAATTAAAGAATACAAAAAACAATTAATTAGCAAAACCGAAGCATTAATAAAAAGAATGAGGTGGAAAGCGTTTTACTTTATTAATGACGATCGAAATAGTAAGTATATCAATTTATGTGAATTCAAATCAACATCAGTAGTGGCTGTATTGCCAACATTAATGCTGATATTTAATCCATCTGTTGTGTAACCATATAATGAATTACTACCAGCTATATTCATACTCATTTTAAATATGCTATATTTTTTTAATTCAGTATAATGAGTTTTCAATACTTTGAAAATCAACACCTTCATCAAGCTTTTTTAATACATAAAGGCACAAGTGTCCGCAAAAAGAAGTGTCTCCAAACTGAATTCTTTTACTATTATAATAAACAGGACTGTGTAAATATTGAACAAGTTCAACTGGAGGTGGTAGTGCATAAGAGTCAAAACTTAATTTTTCTTCTCCATCTTTATACCAGCAAATCCAATGAAATCCATTCGTACTTGAATCTCCAGTATTTAATATTCCACATTCTTTGTTTTGTGTATTTTTAGGTAATTCATCTCTTACAAATACACCTCTAAAATTTTTAATTTTTAATTTTTTTGCTGCTTTTATTAATTGAAAGTTTGTTAAGGGTACATTTGGCAATATAATTCCTTCAACATTGATATGTTTGTCCATTTTTATTACTTTATTAGATTTTTTTAGATCTCTTTAGATATAAAAAATAACTTACCTGTGTGTTTGCCTGCCTGCTTGCCTGTTTATTTCCAATCAATTTGAAATGAAAAGTTAGGCTTGTCAAATCTATCACTTTCATTCCAATCAATCTGAAATGAAAAGTTGGGTTTGGGTTCCGAAGGAACCAATGTTTTACTCTCTTTTAATTTATAATGTCCATATGCTAATGTGTGAATACCATCTTCTTGAATTACTCTTTTATCATCTTCTGCACTCAATGCTATTTTGTTAATTTCTTCTGTATAAACATCATGTAAATGAGATCTTATGACATTCATTTTTCTCATCTGATTTCTCCTGCTAAGCAGGCAGTCTTTATAATCTTCATGTGTAATATAATTTTTTACTATATTTCTCTTTACTCCTTTACATCTCTTTTTATCTTCTTCATCTATTTTGTAAGAATACAACTTTGATCTGAGTCCTATAAATTCCGTAATTTGTTTTCCTGCTGATTCATCTTTAAACATTCCTATTACTTTCTTATTTACACCTACTTTAAATCCATTTTGAACAGCTGGATGATCTTTATTAAATTCACTTGTATCAAATTTACTTTCAATATCATTAGAAATATCTTTATAAAAATCTTCTGTTTTTATTTCATAGATTAATGAATCTGTATCTGTATATAATAGTTTAGCTTTATCTTTATATTTATTTTTTATGTAATCATAATGAAATTCGTACATTAGTGTTTTGCTCAAATCTAAAATACACATACCCAAGTAAATAGGCTTATTATATTTTAGTTTTGTTCTTTTCATATGAATAGCTATTAAATTTTCATCAAATATCGTACTACTTTCATAGTTGGGTTTTGATGCTAATTTAATAGCTTCTTCTCTTTTAGAAACTAATCTCACATCAACTCTGTTTTCAATGTTCTCCATTGTCTTTCCAAATACTGAATTGTTCATAAGTTTGAAAAAGTCTTTTTCAAAGTCATTTGTTGCTTTTGTTCTTAGATTTGTATTGAGTTCAATGTATTTACTCAACCATGCACTTTCTTCAAACTTTATTCCTCTGTGAATTTTTGTTATTTTCATTCCTAATCTTTCATACAGTTTTAAGATTTCATAGTGAATGATATAATTTTTCTTGTGATTTAAATTAGGTACTAATTTTTCAACTTTGTCTATTTTTAATCTTTCAGGAGCAAGAGGATAATCATTATGCAAATCATGTAAGTGTTCAGGATATTCTAAATCTACTTCTAATATACATGAAATAGATTTCCAATTTTTTAATTCTTCTTCATCCATCCATTAAAATCCATGTGTTGGAAGTGGTTTACTCATTGCCCATCCATATAAATTGTTTGCATCTAAATATTGTATGTATGTTGACTCCTTGTTTGAATTATATTCTTCACCAATGTGATTAGATCTTTTAGATCCATATACTCTAGTAGAATTATTAGTAGACTCGGATACTTTATTATTTATATTTTCTAATTTACAAGGTTTTCCACTTTGTATTCCCTGCTTGATCGTTGACATCATTTCATCTAACCATTCAAAACCAGGTGTAGGAGGTGTTTTACTTATTTCCCATTTTAAATTTTTTTTGCCTTGTATTCCTCTATCTATTATTTCATCAATCCATTTATTATCATTAATATTACTTTTATACTCATATATTTTATTAGTCTTTGTGTAATTTTCCATATATTTGTTATTAGCAATTCCTAACCTGTTAGAAATCATGCTAATACCGCCTCTTATTTCTTCTTTAATCATAAGAATCATGTCATAATCACTTAGCAACTCTAATTTAACTTTAGTTATTTTCAACGCAGCGTCCCAAGCTAATCCTGGTGCTGTATAGTACCAAGCAGGATCTAATTTGTAATTGTTAAAACATACATCTCTAAAATTTTCAAAGACATCAGCTAGTAATAATACATCAGATTCGTTATATAAATTATGATAATCTCTAAATGTTTTACATTGAAACTTTTCCCATACAGTTTGAGCATGTAAATAATCTTCATCACTTATTCCTTCATCGTTTAGTCTTGAATAAAATGATTCTTTTGGTGGTAGTTGTGTTTCATTTAATTTATCAATAGAGTCAACCCATTCATAAGGATAAACACCTTTTCTTAACAATAAATTGAGTTCATTTCCAGAATAGTATCTACTAATATTTTTACATTGATCTTTTGACAAATTTTTAGTTAAACTATCTAAACTAGCAGCCATAAATTTAAAACTATCGAGAAAACGGAGCTCTCTCTTAATTTCAACTTTTTTTCCTTTTTTATTCGTAAACTCATCAAGTTTAATTTCTTTAGAAAAGCTGATATACTTTTCTTCATTGTTAGGAATGCAATTTAATTTTCCTCCTTCTGACAATTTCTTTATGAACAAGTGAGAATCATAACCAGATAAATTGTGAAATAGTACTGGAATGAATTTTGGAATTTTAAATTGTAAGTTACAATCACTATGTGCAGCACCTCTATATTTTCCAGTAATATGGCAATGATCTCGTACTCTATCTTCATTAAGATCTTTTTCACAAATGTGACATACTTTTGCATTATCAAATTCTTCTTTGTCTTTACAAGTAATTATCATATCTTTTGGAAATTTTAAATAATCGTT